GGGGGGGGGGAATGAAGGATGGATCTAAACCGGGAATAACATGAACTTCAACATTTTCCAGTGAAGCGAAAAGATTGTTAATTTTTTTTTTCTTTTCTTGTTTTTTTTTTCCACCTCAATTTCTTTTTTTGTTTTTACACATCCAGGAATGAGGCTACTGAGCACACGAGCCAACGAGCCCCCGCCCCGGCTGCGTGACGGGGAGAAACCCCCCTTTGGAACATCTCCTTCCCTACAGCTCTTCCAACACAGGTTCAAGACCAAGAAGCCTGATCCCTCAAAGGGCACGGAGGCTCCTCTACACCATCCCAAGAGCACAAAAAGGCCACGCTTCCAGCGTCTTTTCCACACGTCAGCCCTCTCCCGGGGGATCGGGGGCACCCGTACGCAAGGGCCAGAGGCTCAGTTCAGCCAACGGGACACTAAGACAAACGACAGCAGGAATTTCCAGGTCATTTCAATTTTTCTTTCGATCCAATCTTTGATTCCGATTTTTATCCCCAATAAGATGCTGGGAGAAATAACCAAAAAACCCAATCTTGGCTCAAGTTTTAAATATTCGCCTGAAAGGAGGGCTGGGGGGAGGGAATCATGTACAGTTAAAATCAAGCTACTCAAAACACAATCATTCAGGTAAGTAACTAGAAGTATCGCCTCTACCATCTAGAGAGAGAGAGAAGAGTGTCTGAGACAGAGGGCATATTTAGGAAAAAATACACATCTGAAGTCTCTGTGGCCACGATGAGAACTGGAATCCACATACAAGCCAGTTAAAGAGCATTTCAACATGAAATCTTAACTTAGTAGGAAGGTCGGGGGTTAAGCTGTATCTTTTGTTTGTTTGTTTGTTTTGTTTTAAATACATGGACAGCTGTCAGATATGAAAATGACGGTGGGCTTTCCTGAAAGATCCCCCTGTGCATGTGTATGGATGCGTGTGCTGACATCTGCGGGGCAGCGGGAGGGGGGTTTAGGAGGGCTGGGAGCCCAGCAGTCTCTCAATAGCTGCATTGATGTCCCCGCCGGTGGCTATGAGCGCCTGGAGGTTGGCCTCCCGGTTAATGAAGCCCATGGCGTTCAGCTGCTCCAGCTGCTGTTGGAATCGCACTTCAGGGCTCTGCGCCTGCGGAGGGAAAGGAACAAAGGCCTTAGAGCAGGAGAGGAGGCAGCGACACGGCCAGCAGAGGCTCAGCCGGGACCCTGAGCTCAGCTTTAAGGGTACTGACGTACTCCTGGCTCCCCACCCTGCCAAAATGCCCCCCACCCCGCCATGGGCTTAGCACAGCAGCCCCCCTCCGCTGTTAGTCCCTGTTCTGTACCTCCGGTGACAAGGAATCACAGAATCATCCAGGTTGGAAGAGACCCTTGGGATCATCGAGTCCAACCATCTCCCCTACTCTACAAAGTCCTCCCCTACACCATGTCCCTCAGCACTGCATCTAAACGGCCCTTAAACACAGCCAGGGATGGGGACTCCACCCCCTCCCTGGGCAGCCTGTTCCAACGCCCGACCACTCTTTGGGTGAAAAATTCCTTCCTAATGTTCAATCTAAACCTCCCCTGTTGGAGCTTGAAGCCGTTCCCTCTCGTTCTGTCACTAATTACCTGTGAGAAGAGACCAGCACCAACCTCTCTACAGTGTCCTTTCAAGTACTTGTAGAGAGTGATGAGGTCTCCCCTCAGCCTCCTCTTCCTCACACTAAACAGCCCCAGCTCCTTCAGCCGCTCTTCATATGATTTGTTTTCCAGCCCCCTCACCAGCTTCGTTGCCCTCCTCTGCACTCGCTCCAGCACCTCCAGATCTCTCTTGTATTGAGGTGCCCAAAACTGGACACAACACTCGAGGTGTGGCCTCCCCAGTGCCGAGTCCAGGGGCACAATCACCTCCCTCTTTCTGCTGGTCACACTATTTTTGATACAAGCCAGGATGCCGTTGGCTTTCTTGCCCCCCTGGGCACACTGTGGCTCATATTCAGCCCTTTGTCAACTAGAACCCCCAGGTCTCTTTCCTCCAGGCAGCTCCAGCCACACTTCCCCCAGCCTGTAGCGCTGCAGGGGGTTGTTGTGGCCCAAGTGCAGGAGGATCCCGGCCACTCTCCGCTCCAAACCTGCGCACAGCGTCACCGCACCCCGAAGAACCGACCACCCCGAGACACCAAACTCGGCATAAAGCACCACAGCCAAGGGAAATCCATCGAGAATCATAATCATAGAATGGTCTGGGCCAGAAGGGACCTCCAAAGGTCATCTAGTCCCACCTCCCCACAGTCAGCAGGGACACCCCCAACTAGACCAGGTTGCCCCATCGAGCCTCACCTTGAATATCTCCAGGGATGGGACCTCCCAGGGCAACCTGTTCCAGTGCTTCACCACCCTCATAGTAAAGAACTTTTCTCCTCATCTCCAATCTCAATCTGTTCCCCTCCAGCTTGAAGCCATTGCCCCTCGTCCTGTCACTGCAGGCCTTTCTAAACAGGTTCTCCCCAGCCTTCCTGTAGCCCCCTCAGGTACTGGAAGGCTGCTATTAGGTCTCCCCGGAGCCTCCTCTTCTCCAGGCTGAACAACCCCAGCTCCCTCAGCCTGTCCTCGTAGCAGAGGTGCTCCATCCCCCTCATCATCCTTGTGGCCCTCCTCTGGACCCTCTCCATCAGGTCCATGTCCTTCTTCTATTGAGGGCTCCAGACCTGCACACAATACTCCAGGTGAGGTCTCACCAGAGCAGAGTAAAGTGGCAGAATCACCTCTCTGGACCTGCTGGCAACGCTTCTTTTGATGCAGCCCAGGATGGGATTGACCTTCTGGGCTGCAGCTGCCCACTGCCTGCTCATGTCCAGCTTCTCCTCCAGCAGCACCCCCAAGTCCCTTTCCTCAGGGCTGCTTTCCAATCCCTCACCCCCCAGTCTGTACTGATGGTGAGGATTGTTCCGGCCCAGGTGCAGAACCTTGCACTTGTTCTTGTTGAACCTCATAAGGTTCACCTGGGCCCACCTCTCCAGCCTGTCCAGGTCCTTCTGGATGACATCCCATCCCTTTGGTGTATCGACACCACCACACAGCTTGGTGTCATCTGCAAACTTGCTGATGGTGCCTTTAATCCCAATGTCTATATCATTGATAAAAATGTTAAACGGTATTGGTCCCAGCACGGACCCTTGAGGGACACATCCCTAGAGTTTGGGGGGGATGTGAGTTGGGAACAACCTCTAGCTCACCCTGGATGTCCCTCCCCAGCAGCGTGTCACCGCGCAGCCGGGCCTTACGTACTTGGGAGCTGCCTCCGGCCAGCAGCTGGATCATCTGCTGCATGAGCTGCTGTTGGGGGTTACCACCCCCGGCTGGAGAGGCACTGGCCGGCGTCGAAGCGGAGGGAACGGGGTTCTCCGGGATTGTGCTTCCTCCTGTGGAGGACGGGGGCATTCGGGGCACGCCGAAGGAGCCGAGGCTGCAGAGGAAGGCAGGGTGTGCTCAGAGACAGGCTGGCACTGCTGGGTGTCCCCCGAGTGCCGGGCAGCACGGGAACCAGCAGGCTCTGCCAGGCTGGCCCTCCTCGAGGCCCGTGCTACAGGATTGTTTTGTTAATTCAACAGGCTGCGTTTGTACCCTGGTCACACACGGAGCCTGGAACACAACCCGAACAGAGGCACGGGCCTGAAAGGAGCTGCAGAGACTGAACGTGACCCAGGCTGCTGGGGAGCAGGAGGCCTGAGACCAGCAGCCCAGCCCGCCCCCAGCGTGCCCACCCAGCCTTCTGGCTGCCCATCTCATCCCGTCCCGTGCTCCAGAGATAAAAATTCTTGAGTTCAGCCAATACCCAACACGGCAAACAAAAGACGGGGGAGGGACCAAGTGCTTTGCAAACCTTGCCTCCCAAAAGAAAGGGTCAAGGACTTCCCACGTGAAGCACAAACAAGCAGAAAGTGCTAATTAGCTGTAACTCCAAGGCCTGCAGGCGCACACAGACACACACCTCCCCACGACAGAGCACCCCAAGCAGCTCTCCTCCATGAATCAACAGCCAGTCTGCCCGCTGGTACCCAGCACGTCAGCCCTGCCTGCAGAAACCCACTCCGAAGCGCTCGTTACCTTGGCACTAGTCCTGGGGCCTCCGTTTGCAGCGTCTGGAGTCCCTGCTGGATCTGGAGGAGCGCCTGCATGGCGCGGGGGTTGGTGAGGATGGAGAGGGAGTCTGGGTTCTGCATCTGGCAAGAAAGGCAAAAAAGACACAGCGGTACCAAACAGCGAGAGCTGCGGCAGCCAGAGACCCACCAGCTTTAAATCCAAACAACAATTAGCGCAGAACAACAATTAGCTCTCCCTCTCGCCCTGCAGCCGGAGGAAACCTGTGAGTCTGGTTCCTCCTCCGAGTCCCCAGGCTGCAGGGCTCAGCTACAGAGATCCTCCCAGTTTAGAGCAGATCTCCTCCACGCACGAGGTGAATCAGATCAGAGCGGGGGGCACATGCCTTTGGAATTGCAGTGATGTGATTTGATTTACCTGAGTGAACCAGCTGCTCTAGCACAATTAGTTGGTTTAATTTTTTGTAGACTCGTTACAGGGAGAGACTGTCCACAGGGGGGTTTCACGTAGCGTAACTAGTCTCGTTTGCAGCCCACCTTTAGGTAGATTACTCAATTTAGGTTGCCTTGTCTAAATAAGCTCTTCCTTTCTCTCTCCCCTGTGCAAACCCCTCTCTTCCACAGCCCAAACCACCCAAGCCCACAGGATTCCTGGTCCATGGACTAAGCGGCCGAGCGACCCCCTTTGCTACGGAGGCTGGAAAAGCTCTGGAGCCGGGGGGGCTGAGAGCAGCACAGGGCCAGGGAGGGGCCTTTACCTGCTGCAGGAAGACAGGGAGCTGAAGGCGGAGCTGTTCTTGAAGCTGTGGATTCCCAGCAAAGAGGGGGACATTTACCATGATCTAGCAAGAGACAGCACACGTAGGGAGGGTCAGAGGGTTGCTGCCACCGGCTGTTAAGCCCCACGTAACTAAGCCACGAAGAACAAGTCAGTCATGCCCCTGTCTCCCTCCCTGGGCTTTCAACACGTTCCCCTAATGCTAATGGGGACTGAAACAGGACAGCTCAATTCCTGGCAGCAGCGCTGAATAGAGGCCACTGGGCCAGGGACAAAGAGAAGGGCTATTCCCATGTCCCTTCGAGAGCCACCTTTTTTGTTAGGGGCTCTGCTAAAGCACGAGGTTCAGGGCTGCGACTGCCTTCAAACTATTGAAAAACACAACAAAACTGTCTATATTCACTCAGCTCTCTGGTTTCTGCAAGAGGAACAAACCCAGCTATGGAAGCAGATCACAAGCATCATGCTCATGGCCTGCCTGACATCAGAGGAAACCACAACACTTTTACCTGTGCTGCGAAGTCCGGGTTCTGGGCAAGAGTTTGCATCATGCTCCTCATATAAGGGGCAGAGATCATGTTCTGCATCAGCTGAGGGTTTTCAGAAATTTGCTGCAGCAGGCCTTGCATCTCTGGGCTGTTAAACATGCCTGCAAGGGGAAAGGGGAGGGAAGAGAAAGGAAAACCTTTTATAAGCCTGAGCACTGCTGCGATGCCCGAAATACAAGATATTTAACAGCAATGCCTTTACTTCTCCCTGGACCAATGTCACCGTGGACAGCAATGGTAGCACTTTCTTGCTCTCAAGGGCTGCAGGGACGTCAGAGCTCCCAGAGTAACCCTCCAACAGGCACACGAGAAATCACCCATTTCATAGAATCATAGAATGGTCTAGGTTGGAAGAGACCCTTGGGATCATCGAGTCCAACCATCTCCCCTACTCTACAAAGTCCTCCCCTACACCATGTCCCTCAGCACTGCATCTAAACGGCCCTTAAACACAGCCAGGGATGGGGACTCCACCCCCTCCCTGGGCAGCCTGTTCCAACGCCCGACCACTCTTTGGGTGAAAAATTCCTTCCTAATGTTCAATCTAAACCTACCCTGTTGGAGCTTGAAGCCGTTCCCTCTCGTTCTGTCACTAATTACCTGGGAGAAGAGACCAGCACCAACCTCTCTACAGTGTCCTTTCACGAAGTTGTAGAGAGTGATGAGGTCTCCCCTCAGCCTCCTCTTCCTCACACTAAACAGCCCCAGCTCCTTCAGCCGCTCTTCATGTGATTTGTCTTCTAGGCCCTTCATTAGTTTCGTTGCCCTCCTCTGCACTCGCTCCAGCACCTCGAAATCTCTCTTGTATTGAGGTGCCCAAAACTGGACACAATACTCCAGGTGTGGCTTCACCAGCTCTGAGTCCAGGGGCACAATCACCTCCCTACTTCTGCTGGTCACGCTATTTCTAATACAAGCCAGGATGCCATTGGCTTTCTTGCCCCCCTGGGCACACTGTGGCTCATATTCAGCCGTTTGGCAACTAGAACCCCCAGGTCTCTTTCCTCCAGGCAGCTCCAGCCACACTTCCCCCAGCAACAAGGCTAGAACCATCCATCTGGAGAGCAGCCTGGGTTATCTCTTCAGTCAGCAGCACCCTCTGGTTCCCCTCCCGCTTACGTACCGGCCCCGATGCTGGCGGCGTTCAGCCCGAAGGGGTTGGACACAGTCGGTGTGCTTTGGGTGGTGGCCGAGCCCGTGCTGCCTTCGCTGCTGGGCGCCTGGCTCTGGGACGCGGGGGGCGTGGGGCTCCAGGGGTTCGGTAACGGCTCCCGGTTCTCCGTCCGCAAAGGCTGAGAGCTCGAGCTATCAGAATTCCCCGTCAAGGAAGAGAAAGGATTGTTGCCAAACTAGGGAAAAAGAAGAAATAGCCATCATCAGTTAGCCCTCATAGAGAACGTCAGCCTAACCCCACCACCGTATGAGGTAGGGAACAGCTGATCGTGTTCATCCGGCTCAGAATTTGCTGAACACGTGCTGTGATTTGCCTCCTGAGAAATCTGGGATCCACAACACACTTCACTCGGGGAAAAGCTGGAGGGGAACAGATTTAGATTGGAGATTAGGAGAGGGTTCTTCACTGTGAGGGGGGTGGAGCACTGGAACAGGTTGCCCAGGGAGGTGGTTTAGGCCCCTTCCCTGGAGATATTCAAGGGGAGGCTCGATGGGGCAACCTGGTCTAGTTGGGGGTGTCCCTGCTGACTGCGGGGGGGTCGGACTAGATGGCCTTTGGAGGTCCCTTCCGGCCTGGACCATTCTATGATTCTATAAAAAGAAAAAAGACCAGGCTCAAGAAGTGGCCACAGCCCTAGATTTGGCTCCCAAATGCAGGGCTTCAAACCATCCATGTAAAACCAGCACCCGGACATACCAGTAGGTAATGCTAGACTGGAGTATGTCTGCACAGCCTGCTGCAGACAGACCTGCGCTCACTCCTCCTGCGCTTCCAGCCAGCTGGATCCCAGCCAGCTCCAATCCAGAGGCGTCAGGTTTGAGCTAAGACAGGACGCCGGGCTGAGAGCAGAGCGCTCTGCTAACGAAGCCACGGGGCCATTGCTTCGGTGAGGGCTGGCATCCAGCCTGCTCGGCGACCAAAGGGGCCAGGGCAGGTCTCTGCTCAGATACCACGTAATAAAAGCAGCTGCCAGGCACCGCACAACGTTCTTTCGTCGTGCAGAGCAGGAGGGGTTAACAGCCACGCTTGGGGAAGGTTGTCCCGTTAACACGGGGGTCAGGGAAAGAGCACACAACACCCCACTCCCGGGAATTCAGCCCCTACCTGCTCCCTGGCTGCGCTGAACATGGGCTCCTGGATGTCCGTGTACATCCGGCGCAGGGCGTTGTATCCCCCTGGAATGCTCTCCAGGTTACTCAAAGCACGGTCCTGGTTCCGCATCATCTCCTGCATCATGGCAGGGTTACGAGCCAATTCCATCGTCTGGGAGAAGGAGGAAAACGTAGAAAGCTCAGGTCCACATGCACCATGGAAGGCCAGAGTGGCTCAGAAGCAGCAGCCCGGCGGTACTCTGCTGATCTGACAGCTAAGCACTGAAAGAGTTAAATCTCAGCTCCCAGAAGAAAGAGTATAATTAAACCCGTTTCACAGCCAGAGAGCAGAGAGATCATTTATCCAAGCAAAGAGAGCCCAGGGATCCTGGCTCCTCCCATCCTTGCTCAGCTCTCTTCCTTCTCAACCTCAATTCAGCTGGATGAGATTGTTTTGTTTCTAAGCAGTATCGGGACATCCAAACACTGAACACCCATATGTTCCCACTCAAAGTAGATGGACTACATTCAAAAAACCGAGAAGGTGGAAGGGATGGGATCCTTCCCATTTCAAAAAAACCCAAGCAATTCACCCTCTCCAGACTTCTGATGGGTCTCCCCTGAAGAAAGAACATCCAGAGCTCATTTGAGGAGCTGCATAAGTACAGACCATTCACAATTTAGTCCTGCAGCTCCGGAATGTCATGTACGGGCAACACAGGTGAAAGAAAGATAACCAAGAAGTAGATGGAAACGAGGTTAATTCAGCAACAACCCAGAGAGACCTCCTGACAAGTCTTCCTGGGGGAACAGCAGAGTTCTGCCAAGGGCTATTTAACACTCAGGGTCTCACTCATCCCTCATGCTTCCTTCTGATCACCCTTTGAGCTTTGAGACAGCCAGCCCTCCGAGGCTGCTCCTCTCTGCTCCGGGATGGGACAGAAAATCCTGACCTCAAGGATCCCAGCCTACAACTAGTGCTCTCTGCTGATACAGGCAGTAAAATCCTGACTGTACAGCTCTGCAGTCTACACTTAATCTACCAAGAGAAATAGAGAGAAATAAAAAGCTTTTGCAGCAGCTTCACTTCTCTTCTCCATGACTGCTTTTTTTTTTTTTTTTTTTTTTTTTTTTTTTTTTTTTTTAATGCTGAATCAGAACACCGTAGACTCATATGCAGCACACTGGGATGATCCCAGCAGATCCTTCTTTTGCCCAACACATGATGGATTCGATAGCCCTGAGAGGGAGATAAGAGTTGCAGGTACGTGGATTGAGTAATGAGCATTCACACAACTCAAGACCACCATCTGTTTGCGGGGGGGGCCTCACAGCAGGAAGGAAGAAACGTCTAAAAATCACCGATCTGGCATTTACACACTCCCTCTGGGGAGCAGACGCTGAAGCTGGTCCACAAAGATGCTCCTGAACGTGCTTTAAGCAGGCCCTGGCATCACCAACTCACCTGCCTCATGAGCTCCGGGTTATTCAGCATGTGGCTTATCTCGGGATTTCGCTCCATGAGCTGCTGCATCTGGGGGTTGGCCATGATCATCTGCCTCATGAGGTCAGGGTTAGACATCATGTTCTGCACCAAGGGATTCTCCATGATCTGAGAAAGCATCTCTGGGTTGGACATCAGCTGCCGCTGCATCTGCTGCTGGAGCTCCATGAAGTTGGCAGAGCCCATCCCAAGGTTGCCCAGCCCAGTGATGCCACCAAAGCCAGCTGGAGAGGGAACAACACACGGGGAGAGAGGCGTGAGTCAGTAACTGTCGGCAGCTGCAAAAAGAGGACAAGGACATCAGCCAAACTGCACCCACACTCATCGAGGGGTACCCTATACTCCCACTGGAGCCAGCTCTGAGGGAGGACAACCCCTACGCATGCTTCAACAAGGGCTTTGGCATCATCCTGAGCAGGGAAACCGAGGCAGGCTGCTGGAAGCGACTCATGCAAAGCCCACAGCAAGCACAGACAAGTGCAAGGGTCAAGAACTCTGTGGTCTAAGCCCAGGAAATCCTTCTTTGGCGTCACACCTCCTCACAGCCATCACTCCTCACAGCCACCACTTACACAGGATGGATGTAGCACTATTAGGGCCTCCGTCTCCATGGCCCCCCATGGTCCCCGACCCACTGCTCCGCCTGCTGCCGCTCCCCGTGTCGGACCCGGTGCTGCTGGAGGTGGAAGGCTGAGACGGGGCAGCAGGAGAAGAAGGGGTTGCACTGGGGGCAGAAGCAGCATTGGGGGCAGAAGCAGCAGATGTTGAATCTTGGACCCTGCAAAGAAACAAAAGGTGGCATTAAACTCCTGAGACTCCAGACCAGTGAGCAGAGGCCTCTGTGGGGAGGGCCACAAGGATGATCAGGGGGATGGAGCACCTCTGCTCCAAGGACAGGCTGAGGGAGCTGGGGTTGTTCAGCCTGGAGAAGAGGAGGCTCCGGGGAGACCTAATAGCGGCCTTCCAGTACCTGAGGGGGGGCTACAGGAAGGCTGGGGAGAGCCTGTTTAGAAAGGCCTGCAGTGACAGGACGAGGGGCAATGGCTTCAAGCTGGAGGGGAACAGATTTAGACTGGAGATGAGGAGAGGGTTCTTCACTGGGAGGGTGGTGGAGCACTGGAACAGGTTGCCCAGGGAGGTGGTTGAGGCCCCTTCCCTGGAGATATTCAAGGTGAGGCTCGACGAGGCCCTGGACAACCTGGTCTAGTTGGGGGTGTCCCTGCTGACTGTGGGGAGGTCGGACTAGATGGCCTTTGGAGGTCCCTTCGGCCTGGGCAATTCGATGATTCTATGACACAGGACGGTGCACCCCACACTGCTGGAGCCCCCCCGTTGTCCCCACAGCAGCCAGCCCTGGCTGCTTCCATTCCTGCCCGCGCGGATGCACAGCTGCGCTCCCAGATGCCTTCCATCTGCTGGGATCTGCCTCCCATCCTGATGCAAAACAGCCCGGGACATTTTATCCTGGCCCACACAAAGTGGCTTGACTGGTCCTACCCCGGGTTGTATCCAGCTCTTCCTTCAATCACACTGAACTATTTACCTCAGCCATATCCTTGAGCAATGAGTTTGCTCCAAACAGGAAAATCCTCCTGCTGCTGCCTCAGAAACCACAGGAGGTTACAGCGGGGCTCGTGCGTGGGGTAAACAAGAAGCTGCTTTTCTGCAAATCCTCCCATGCACTGAATATTCCTAGCAGTGCTCCCGGGGGCAAAGCTAAGTATCAGCAATGCTCCACAGAGAGGGAAACTGAGGCACAAGGCCAGTAGCACCTGCTCCATGAAGCTACAGAACATTTCTGGCCAGCTCAGCTGTGAATTCACATCTCTGCCCCTGGCCATTCCTTCCACTCAAAGCTTCTCCGTCCAACACACCTTGACTAGAGCTTCTTTTAACACACAAATGCAGATCCTGTGCCGTAACCCACAGCGTAGCAGATGCTGGACATGGGCTTTATCAAATAAACCAACCCAAGTAGCACCTTGTAATCACATCTCCTCTACAGAACTTTTCACAGGAATTTGAAAGAGAACATTTAAAGACTCTCCAAGCATCTGCAGTCATGGCAGTGAGTCCTGACCTAGTGCTGAAGAGCTTTCACATTAAATTAGACCACAAAACTCACTTTATTCCCTTCAAATAATGCTATTATGCCACTGACAAGTAAAACAGAACAATGATTTCTTGATTATTATTTTTTTCCCCTCAAACCAAGAATGATTCCTTTCTCTTAACTCGTTTTTGTTTTTCACTCTTATTCCAGGAGTTTAAAAATCAAACCTGAAGGTCCCTGCCCACTTTCCAGACTCACCTGACCACTGCTGAAAACCAGCAGCCACCGAGAGGGAGACAGAGAGTGGGGAAACAAAACAAAAAGGAAGCTGAACAAAAAAGGAAGAAGGAAGCTGGAGAAAGGTCACTTGGTTTCTCTCTCTCAGCACAGGAAGAGGCTGTAATGTCTTCAGTAAGCACTTATCTATGACTATTAGCAGTAAAAAAAAAAAAAATAATGGAGCAACTGAGGACAGCTCTCTTGTTTACCCTCTGAAATGGTTCACCAGTACCGCAGTTCGCTGTGGGGACAGTGGTAAACAGCACCAGACGATCAGGCTGCCTGGAGCTGCACAGTCCAGAGAGCCCTCCTGCAGAACCTGACAATACACACCCTTGTCTTTGTGAAAAAAGAAGAGGGGGGAAAAAAAAAAAAAAAAAGAAAAAAATCAAACCGCTAATCTCGAGTAAGGCAGTAAAGCAGCTCTCCCAGGGGACAGCAGAACTGCACAAAGAGACAAGGGAAGTCCGATCAGGCTGAGAAAAGGGTGGTGAAGGGGGTGTTGAGATCAAAATGTAGCTGCACTTGAAATACAGCAACTGTTCCCCCCTCCTGTGCCACCTCTCTGCACCGGCCCACGCAGACGTGCCCATAGGTACCACACAGCAACACCACTCTGCCCTATAGAGAGTGCCCTGAATGTGTGGTGTGTCTCCTGTGGCACCCAAGAGAGCGTGAGCACAGGCTTAGAGCAGAAAAATGATAGAAAGCCAAAGAAAAATTGGGTATTTGTCTCAACTTCGACACAAATTCATTTGGAAAGCAATTTCTGTTAACAGCACCTTATCTTTGTTAGAACTTGATACAAGTTCCAATGGGTTCTTTCATAATCATTAAATTATAAAGGCTCAAAATACGCAAAACGACACACACGAGTTGTGTTAAAGAAGAGTCAACCCCCTCAGACACTTGTCACAGACTTATGGCCCTGTGTAACGCGTGGAAAGGACAGGCTGAGTGATAAACCCCACGGCAAAGCCAGGGCAGGGGGAGAGCTCTCCTGCCAGACCACCGCTGCCCGACTCACAGCCCCCCCAAAAGCAGCACTCAGGCCTCCCACAGACTCCCTTCAGTCGCTGATGGGGCAGAAAACCATCATTTATTCACATCATCCGTTTACCCTCAGCCCTCGCACCCCCCCCCCCCCCCCACAC